TACAGAAAAAGGTTAAGAATGAGGCAGCCTCTGTGGTTCCTTTTAGCTCTGAAATTTTACTTATATAAGTCCTTAAAAATAAGCAAAACTTAACTAATATAGTGGTAAGTGTCTACCAATGAACTTTCTGAAAATTACTTACAAAGTGACTTACAAACTTACAAATGACCTTTGCAGCTGTATTATAACATATTACTCTCCTTCCTACACTGCAATTCAGGCAACAGAGTGACTGATAGCCAACTGTTCTTCACATAGAATACTACATTGTCTATCTCCAGGCTTTTGCACTGGCTGTCCCCATTCCTGGAATGCACTCCCTCCTTATCTATGCCTCATAGAATCCCTTGTTTCCTTTAAGACTAAGTTCAATCATCATCTTCTTCACATGAAGCCCTTTTTTTAATACCCTCAGCAACTAGAATATTTTCCCAAAAGTACCTTGAATTTATCTTGTATGCATTCTAATTTATACACGTGTTGTCTCCTGATGAAATGTAAGGTAGGGACTGTCACATTTTTGTCTTTGTATCTTCAGTGCCCCATGCCCCATTGGGCACATACAATAAATAAGACATAAGGAAAAGTATGACACCTTTAAACTAGAACAAAAGCAACTATGAATTGGCACTAAAGAACAAATGCAGAAATTCACCACAGATTCCGTTAAAAATGTAGCCATTAAACCTACTGCCTCATAGACATCTATCTCAACTGGATATACCATAGACACCTCAAACTCAACATGTCCAAAACTGAATTCATTATATTTCCCCAAAACTTTCCCCCTCTCTAACTTCCATATCACTATTAAAGGCACCACCAACCTCCCAATCACACAGGCTTGTGAATCAGATAACATCCTCAACTCTTCATACTTTCTGAAACTTTTTTGTTTGTTTTATGGTGAGGCAATCGGGGTTAAGTGACTTGCCCAGGGTCACACAGCTAGTAAGTGTCAAGTGTCTGAGGCCATATTTGAACTCAGGTCCTCCTGACTCCAAGGCCAGAGCTTTATCCACTGCACCATCTAGCTGCTCCCAACTCCCCATACTCTCACCCCTCACATCCAATCTACCACCAAGGTTTATTGATTCTACCTTCCTAATATCTCTCGCATATGCCCCCTTCTCTCCTCTGATACTAACACTACCCTGGTACAGACCCTCATCATCTCATATCTAGACTACTGAAATGACCTGCTAGTTGATCTCTCCCTACTCCAGTCTATCTTCCACTCAACTGTCACTCATCTTCCTAAAATACAGCTCTGACAGTGTCACTGACAATTCAACTGTCAAATTTATCTTCCTAAAACACACCTCTGACCATGTCACCCCTCTACTCAATAAACTCCAATGGCTCCCTATTACCTCCAATAACAAATATCAAATCCTCTGCTCAGCTTTTAAAAGGCCTTCATAACCAAGCAAAACTTACTCAGCAAACCAAGTATAACCTACAGAGAGAAAAACAGATCTTTAAAGAAACGGTGGACATCGAAGCTTTCCTGATGAAAAGACCAGAGCCAAACAGAAACTTTGCAATACAAAGTTAATAAGCGCATAAAAAGGCAAATGTGAACAAACAATAAGACAGCACAAAATAAGGATGAAGTGCTTATATTCCAATAGGGGAAATTATACAAGCGTCCCATAGGAACTCGTATCATCAGGGGTCAAAGAGGGAGTCAAATAAGACAGAAGGCTTAGGAATGGTTTTGTTATTTTTTTTAAATGATCTTAAAAGAAAAAAGGAAAGAGGAGAGAAAATAAATACACAAGGAGAAAAAAAAGATGCAGAATGGGGGAAATTACCTCACATAATTTGGGCGCAAGTATAGAAAACTACATAAACAAGTAAAAAGGTGTAGGGGGGTGGGCAAAAAATTAAACTTCATTTTCAACTGTATTGATCAAAACAAGGAAGAGCACACATACAGAATTGGGTACATAGATTCATTTCATTCAACAAGGAAACAGGAGGTGAAGGGGAAAGTAGAGAGAAGAGAGGAGTAAAAGGAAGGGTAGATTCAGAGAGATTATTCATAAAAAAAAAAAAAAAGCTCTAACCCTTCTTCCCCACCCATCCAGTATTCTATTGCAGCAGAGCTATACAAACCAACGGACAAACTTGCAACAGTAGTACCCAACTCTATATCCCCTCACCCTCAACCCCTGGAGATCCAAACAGTAGAAATTTTCTTAGGTGTGATAGCAGTGAGAAGCACAATGGCAACAAGGAGAGAGGTGTGGAAGTATTTTGTGCCACAACAAAACTCAGAGAACAGGGGACACTGGGGCAAGGCACATAAATGTGCCTGTGCGTCACTCCATTTAGTCTGAAAAAAAGAAGCCAGAAACTAACTGAGGCCAGAAGTCATTGCACCATTTGAGGTGCAGACTGAGATTGGTGAACCATGAGTTGTTTAGCATGGGAGGATATAGACACAATTTGGCATCCAGACACCAGGGAAACTATCATCAAAGGGGAGGGAGTAAACAAGGAAGCAATAAGAGGAAAAAGGGGGGGGGGGCTGTAATGACCAAAAATCTCAGGAAGAAGAAAACGCAAGTAAAGACCTTGAGCATAACCAGATAAAGTAACAAGAAAGATATCAGTAACAAAAGAGAATAAAGCCTCTAGATCAGGTAAAAGAGATAAGGTATCTATGAATAAATATTGCAAGATAATGGAAAATTAATCAATAACTAATGAAGCAGTCAACTGGGTAAATTCCAAAGACAGCATGGAACAACAGCACACTGTACTTGAATGGATTAAAAGAGAAATTAGAAAGCAGAATTTATGGCCTGATCAGCAGAAATAATTTTGGAAGAATGGAAAAACTTGACACCATGATGGCAAGTTTCATCAAAGAGTATAGATAAAAATTAGGATTCCACATACACAAAAATAAAAGACAATCTGTAATAAGAGAAGCAAAATGCAATAATATTAACAGAAAGTATTATCTCCACACAAGCAAAACATAATGACCTTGAAGACAAGATACATAAAGACAACATAATAATGTCTCCCAGAAGAATGTTATTCAAAAAAACTGATCAAAATACAAGAAATAATACAAGAAAACTGCCCATAACTTCGGAAAACAAAGTACAAATAGAAAGAATCCACAGGGGAAAAAAAAATCATCCAGGAAAAAAAAGTGAAATTGCAAACTCCAAGCCATATGGTGGTTAAATCAACAAGTCTTCAGACAAATAAATTCTTCAGGCAGCAAAGAGGAAGGCCTGCAAGTACAAAAGAAAGGAAATTTGAATAACAGAAGACTAATCTATACCCACCAAAAGCCACAGGAGGGAATGGAATAATGTGTTCTGAAGAGCAAAGGAGGTCAAAACGCAGTACAAGGTGACCTATCCTGCAAATCTGAGCCTAACCATAAATGACAAAGGATGGAAAGTCATTTTTTAAAGGAGGCATTTTAAACATCCCTTGAAAGAAAACCAGACCTGAAGAAATTATTTGCTTCTCAAACAACACAGAGAACAGAAATACAAAAAGGGTAAACAACTATAGCAACCAAGGCAACAACAAAATAACAGAGACTGTTAAGAGATTTATTTCTAAATGGACACAAGGTAACATGGGTAAAAGCAAAAGTCAAATAGACATGACAGTGGAGAAACAAGCCTGAAACATCATGGCCTAAACCTTGAGTACTCTGCCTTCAAATGAATCACTGTTTTTTGCAGGATTAAATTACAGAATGGGAAGGTGCATAAAAGGGGGAAAGGGAGGCACAAGATGGAGCGGTTGTGATGCATTCTAATCAAATCAAAAGCTAACAAATGAAAGAAATTTAACTCCTGCAGTCTGTCTGGAAGCAGAGAGTCTACAAGAAATAGGGCTAGGAGACAAAGGGAGGAACTGAAAAAGGGGGAAATCTTGCTTCAGTCAGTCATTTAATAAACATTAAACACCTACTATGTGCTAGGCACTGTGCTAAGTACTGGGCATAGAAAGAAAGGTAAAAGATAGTCCCAGCTCTCAAGAAGCTCACAGTCTAATGAAGGTAACAACATATAAATAACTATGTAAAAACAACCTATATGAGATAAATTGGAAATTCAGAAGGGAAAGCACTAAATTAATGGCTCCCAGTAAGTGGGATTACCACAGTACTCAAGGAAGACAGGGACACCTGGTGGCAAAGACCAGAAAGGAGAGCATTCCAGGAAAAGGGACAGTCAGTGAAAATGCCCAGAGTTGAGAGGAGAGTCTCGTTTGAGGAACGCTAAAGAGGCCACAGTCAATAGATCATAGGATATATATATGACAGGGAGAGGGGAGTAAGACGTAAGAAGACTGGAAAAGTCAAAAAGGGCCAGATTATGAAGGGCTTTGGATGTCAAAGAATTTTATATTTAATCCTGGAAGCAATAGGGAGACACTGAGTAGGTGGCTTGTATCTGTGGATATATGCGCTTCCCATTCTGTAAGGTAGATCATATCTATGCTTTAGGAAGATAACTTTGGCAGCTGAATGGAGGACAGAATAGAAAAGACAGAGATCAATCAGTGAGTTATTACAGTTTTTCAGTCTTTCCAACTCTTTGTCACTCCATTTGGGGTTTTCTTGTCAAGGTTACTCAAGTAATTTGACATTTCCTTCTCCAGCTCACTTTACATATGAAGAAACTAAGGCAAACAGGATTAAATGACTTGTCCAGGGTCACAAAACTAATAAATGTTTGAGGCATGATTTGAACTCAATTCTTCCTGACTCAAGTCCAATAATCGGCAATACCTAGCTGCCTATATTCCCCTAGAAGAAACAAGCATTTATTAAATGTCTACTGTATGCTAGGCATTTTGCTAGGCCCTAGAAACAGAATGATAAAAATGAAACAGTCCCTGTCCTTAAAGAGCTTACACTATATCTGGTGACAACATGTAAGTATATAAGTAAATGCAAAATAAAGATAATTGGGGTGTGGTGCCCGCAAGGTACTAGCAACAACAGATCAAGAAAGGCTTCAAGTAGAAGATGAACTGAGCTAAGATGTGAAGAAAACAGGATTCTAAGACATAAAGGTGAGTAGCAAGTACATTATAGGTATGGGGAAAAGTTAGTGTAAAGGCATGGAAACAAAAGATAGAATATCACGTGTAAGGAACAGTAAGAAGGACAATTTGGCTGGTCTGTAGAGTACAGGAAGGGGAGTGATATACAAGAAGGCTGGAAAGGTAGGTTAGAGCCAAAGGATGAAGGAAGATTACCAATTTACAAAGGGTTGAGAAGTGAGAGGAGCAGCAGTAGAAACAACTACCTTAGACAGCATTTTTTGGGAGGTTGGTTGTGAAAAAGGAGAAATATATAAGATAACAGTGTGAGGGGGGAATGCTAGGTCTAGTGAAGATTCTTTAAGAATAGGGAGTCTTGAGGCAGCTAGGTGGTACAGTGGATAGAGCACCGGCCCTGATGTCAGAAGGACCTGAATTCAAATCCGACCTCAAACCAAACACTTGGCACTTACTAGCTGTGTGGTCCTGGGCAAGTCACTTAACCTCAATTGCCTAAAAAAAAAAATTTAAGAATGGGGAGTCTTGGGGCAGCTAGGTGGCACAGTGGATTGAGCTCAGGCCTTGGAGTCAGGAGGAACTCTGAGTTCAAGGCTGACCTCAGACACTTGACACTTACTAGCTGGGTGACCCTGGGCAAGTCACTTAACCCCAACTGCCTCACCAAAAAACAAAAACAAACAAAAAAAAAGAATGGTGAGTCTTGGCTGTGGGAAGCTTAGGACAGTCCTCTCCTATAGGGAATAGGGCAGAGAATCAATCTGGGAAGTAACAGGATTGCCTTGTAGTAATGAGGGAAAGAAATCAGATAACAAATTTTTAATGCTCCCAGTCAGCATACTTGAATTACTTCCTCCAGCTGTCTGCAAACAGTATACTTGATCAGAAACAATCCAGGGCTGGGGTCTGGAAAAGCTGGAAAGTGGTGACAGAAGAAGGGAGCAAGGGATTCAAGAACAGAGAATAGTGTAGAGTTGAACTGATTAACTAGAAGGTAGAATCTGGGAAGAAGGAAAAATGAAGTTAGAGTGGAAGTAATGGCCTAAGAAAGCACTAAGGCGTGGAGGACCTGGAGGGTCACCGTAAGGATGGAGAACAGGACCTTAAGATTTGATACAGCAATTTCAGAGATTTCAATCACGGAATTACTTCCAGGTAAGCTTCCTAAAAGCAGAACCTCTTCTTCATTTTGTCTTTGTAACAGAGTATAGGACAAAGCTTTGAACATAAGAGATGATAAATACATACCTGGTATCATAGTTGTTTTACAAAGGAAGAAACTGACACAGAGAACTGTGTGACTATGATCACACAAGCAAGTACTTATTAATCGCCTACTATGTGCTACTGTGTACAGCTAAGTGGCAGAGCTAGAATTCAAACCCAAGTCATTTGAGCATAAGTCTCCGGTTCTTTCCTATAACACCGTGTTGCCTATCATAGTCTGTAACTCAAGAAGGCCATATGGGAAGGGAAGGAACCCAAGTTCTAATTTCCTTCACCCCGACCCCCAGGAATGTCTTCCAATTTCCTTGCAACAGAAATTTGAGGAGGATGGTATGTAACTATGGTACTATGGAAACACTCAGAGAAACTGATGAGGATTATACTTCTTTCCTGGGCCAAGATTTCTATTGGCTACCCAGTGCATTCACATTTTCAGCCTGCAAACTGACTTTGTTTCTAATTATCTGCTTTGCAGCTGGATATGCTGACCTTACATCTGAAGGACAATCCTGTATCTGCTTAAGAGATCAAAAGCAAAGCACATTTCCCCAGAAATTCCATGTTTGGAAAATTACCTATAGAACATTAACCAAATTAAGACATTTCTTTTCTTTTTCTTTTTTGTTTTGTTCTGGCTAATTTTCATTTAATAAGTCTGCCATTAATTGGCAAAGAAAAATCACATTCATTTAAAATCTTAATTTGGTTAATATACATTAATAACAATAATGCCACTTTACATTTCCATTAAGCTTTAGAGATTAAAAAGCACTTTCACTTACCAGGCTACATGAATTTTGATCTTGTAAGGTAGGTGGGGCAGAAATTGCTTCCTTCATATTATAGGGAAGAAAAGTGAGTCTCAAAGAAGGTAAATGATTTGCCCAGAGTCCTATAGCCAGTAATGGTAGAGCTGAAGCTTGAGCCCAGACTCTCACTCCCAGGCTCAGTGTTCTATTCCACTACGCTGTCTGCATAACAACATGATCTACTTTTCTTTTTCACATACATTTTAATCTTTTCTCAGGATGATTGTATTCCATGTTGCACATTTTATAGCCTAAATTTCTCCCTCAGAAACCGAAGATTTATTTCTGGATTCAGGAATCCTAACCAGGCCTAAACTTTTAGGCTGATACCCATATCTTCTGTCAAGTTTGACAAAGAAAGATGCTCTCAACTGCTGACAGCTCTAATAGCTAACATGAAAACATTCAGAACTCTTCGAATCAAACCATCCGCATATGAGGGGGTAAGAAAGTTCAACACAACACATCTGCAAACATAATATACCCAAGGAGCTTGGCATCAGTGGACAATTGCAGAACATCAAGCTATCTGTCACCCAGAACACCACGAATTATGAACTGTTCTTAAAGGTTCCTACCCTCCAAGAATGTCCAGCAATCTCCTTCCCCTCCAGCTGGTCTACAGGAAAAGTTAACAGCAGAACTCTCTAGCCTCATCAGCTTCTTCAGTTCCCTGAAGTAGTCAACACCACAGTCAGGGGGCAGTCATTGGCCCTTGTAAATGAAGGGGAATGTTATTTTGGCAGTATGCTGACATATCTTCTCAGCACCTCAACACTTCCATAAGCCAACTAGAACCTTGCATGCAGGCCAAAATAGACAGACTATATCTGATTTTAAAGATGAAAAATGCACACTGGCTTTTGACCTTTAAGTACTGGTGTCTCTGCTTAGCAAATTAGAGGTGTCCTATACAAAGCAAACAACAGCACCGAAGAAAAGTACAGGACCAACTGTAGTATGGGGGCAATTTTGCATCTTCTTCAATCTTTCTGAAATGTGATTTAGCTTGACCTTTAAATCTAGTGGATCAACCAATCAATTTTCCTGAAATAACTTTGCACGTGACATTAGAGCATGCCCTGTATAAGAAGGAACCAGGCATAGCAGCATGGCCTAACCACTTCATTGTGCTAGAAAAGTTACTAAGATTTATCTCAATTGATTTTACTGGCAAGAAAAACACAATGTGAAAACTGCAACATCAGCAGACACTAAAGGTCTTAGTTCCTTGCAGGATGAACTTGATATCAATAGTTATTAGGACACATTCATACAAGGCACACAAGAGAGATGGAGAGAAGATGCAAGTAATCTTACTTAATCCTGAAGCGGCCAAAAGCCAGGCTCTTCAGACTGTGGGAAAAATCAAGGAAAACTTTCAATATTCCTGGGCTATTGCTAGGCAAGAATCTGGGGGAGGAAATGTTCGTATTTACAACTAGGATAAAAACAATAGCACAGCACAAAGAACCTAGACTGAAAATTGAGAAAACGGGGTTCTATCCCTGGCTATGCCATTAACTCATTATATGACCTTAAGCATGACACTATCCCTCTTCTTGGCTCAGTTTTCTGATCTGTAAAATGAAGACATGAGGCTAAATGGTTGCCCAGGCGTCTTCCAGTGTGATTGTGACAGATCTGTAGTGATTCCAAAGCCAAAGCTTCAATTCCTCCTCTTCTCAACACAACAAGCAAATAAATCAATGTGAGGATCCTACAGAGATGCTGGGGTATTTGGTTGGCCAGAGAGGGAAATAAAAGCAAGAATTAGGAAGGCCTGAGAAAGAAACAAAACTGTTTTTCCCTCTGCAGCTGCAAAGCTAAACCATAATTCCAAACACACACCAACTGTTGACATAAATGAGGATCCCTAAGGCCCACAGACACCACCCAACATAACATAATATCCCAATGAAAGCAGACACTTTGCCAAAAAAGGATGGCTAAAATCCAGAGAGAAAGAAAACAGTCAAGTTTCTTCAAAAGAGTTCAAAACTGGGAGTTTAAGAAAAAACACATTTTTGTTTTTAGTTTTTTTAATGAAATTAAAACAAGTTATTCTGCCTTTAAAAATAAAAAAGACTCAGAATCACAGAATCTAAAAGTTGGAAAGGACTTCAGGACATACCCAACAAGTTGTTTTTTGCACCAGTGAGGGGAGGGGCCCCATTACCTCTTTGGGCCATTCCACCTTTGGATATCTCTAATTATTAGGAATTTTTTCCAGACATCAAGCCTAACCTGGCCTCTTTGCAACTTCTACCCATTGTTTGCTCCCAGTGCTGTCTTATGGACTAAGCAAAACAAATCTAATCCCTTTTCTCACAGGACAACCTTTCAAGTACTTCAAGGCAGTTAAGCATTCCCAACCCAGACCTTCTCCCCAAGTCTTCTCTTCCCTAGGCAAAATAGCCTCAGTTCCTTCAACAATTCTCTCTTGTGGCATGATCTTGAGGATCTATGACAACCTTTGACCTCCAGTTTATCAATGTCCTTTCTAAAAGGAGATGCCCATAACTGAACACACTATTACCAATGTGACTTGAAGAAGGCAGAGCACAATGGCACTAACACCTCACCAATGTTGTACACAATACCCCATTTAATTGCAACCTAAGATCACATTAGCTTCTTTGCCTGCCATGTTTCACCCATATTATACCTGCAGTCCAATAAAATCATTTGAAAAAGGGAACTATTGTCTCTCCAATGCCTTCATCATCTCATACTTGTGAAGTTAATTTCTTAAAGTGAAGAACATTAAATTTATTTCTATTAAATTTCAGAATATTAAATTCAGCCCAATTTTCTAGCCTCTCTACATTCTTTGAGATCCTAACTCTATCATCTAACATATTCACTACTACTTCTAGCTGACCTTTTAGATGCAACCAATCAATTTATCCAAAATCCCCCTATAACTGTAACATCATCTGGCCTACAACTTTTGATTTTATCCAAATTTTAAAAAAAAATAGCATGGGAGGCAGCATAAAACAGCAGGTAAACAGCTAAATTTTAAGTCCGAGAACCTGAATTGAAATGTTAGCTCTGATACTTACTATCTGCATGACCCTGGACCAGAAGTCACTTAATCTCCCCAGACCTCAGGTCATTCATCTATTGGATGAGGGGTTTGAACAAGACAGCCTTTAAGATTCTTTCAGCTCTAGAGCTCTGATCGTTAACAGGTGTAAGGACTAAGCCTATGATTTCATGCTTTGCTAAAATCTAGGTATACTTTATCTACAATATTCTTCTGATCTACTACTATAGTGGCTCTGTCATAAAAGGAAATGAGGTTAGTCTGGCATGACCTCATCAGCATCACCAGGAGTCCCAGAACTTAAGTAAAAAATTAGATATATTAAGGATTCAATACAATACAGCAAGACAAATTATACTTATCAAGACAAGCAACAAAAACGTATGAACACCTACTATTTGTGGTCAAGTAGAAAAAGTGCTTGCCTGAGAGTCAAGGGAACAGGATTCTGGTCCCAGCTCTGTCATTTCAACTAATCATATGGCCTTGGGCAAGTCACAACTTCTCTAACCTCAATTTCCTCACCCTTAAAGTGAAGGGGGTAAACCAGATAATCTTGAAAAATCTCTTCCAGTTCTGAAATTCTGAAAGGAATATGTGCTTAATCAGTAATTGTTGAACTGTCATTATGTGCTGAACGGCCAAGAAGATATTACAGAAAAGATGTAATTTAAACTAGGATTTAAAGGATGTCTAAAGTTTAGTTATGTGGAAAGAAAAGGAAAAGTTATTCCAGGTAAAGAGAAGGCATAAGCAAAAGTATAGAGGTAGGCCTAGGAGTGCTTTCCAGTTTATCACTGCTCTTTTTTCGAGTTGTAAACATGAGAATTTACAATGTTTTTGATGAGCAGGGAACAGACCAGTTGGGGCAGAGCAGAGATTCTGTAAGGAAACATGAAAGACATAGCTGAAAAGGTAAACTAGAATCAGATTACATAAGCTAAGGAGTTTGGATTTACCCTGAAGATGACAATGTGGGGATTAGGGGGCCCAGGAAAGAGTGGGTGCACAATGTGACAAATAACTTTAAATAATAATTCACCATATAGGAAAAATATCCAGCTAACTGCTACCTCCAAGGAGAACAGATTGAGAATGAATCAATTTAAATTACAGTTGAGACTTAGAGTAAAACTGGGGGGAAGGGGGTGGAATATTAGAAGTATGTCCCTAGAATCAATAGAAGCTGGACTCCATCGGTGTTTTTCCAATCAATATCAAGAAACATACACATAGCCAGTGATGAAGAAGGGGATGTTCTCTCTTATGTGAACTCCTAGAAGTAACTTGTATGCTCCCTCATGTAAATCCTCCACATACCATGTGCCCTTAACCTTCCAAAATCTGGGTCTTGCCTTGAGCACAACAGTATCTCCTTTGAGCTTCACTGAGGCAGAAAAGTAGCCACTGCTACTCCTCTCTTGCCCCCTTCCCTTCATATTGTAACCTGTCACTTGTGGGGTAGTGGAAAAGTTCCCAAGATTGCTTTCCCAAGACAAATCCCCTTAATAAAAGGATTTGTTCTGTAAAACTTGGACTCAGTTAAAAGGCCACAGTTGAGGGCCTAGAGGGCCACATGTGGCCTCAAGGCCACAGGTTCCCCACCCCTGTGTTAGACCTTGGATTCAGAAAGACCTGAGTTCAGATCCCACCTCAGACAGCTTGCTAGATGTGTGATCCTGGGCAAGTCTTCCCTAAGCCTCAGCTTCTTTATCTGTAAAATCAGGACAATAAAAGTACAACTTCATAGGATTGTTATAAGGATCAAATGAAGTGATACATTTAAAGTGCTTGGCAAAACACTATATAAATGCTAGCTATTATTTTTTCAATGTTTTATTGATGCTTCCCAGTGATTCCTTTCCCCACCTCCCTGTTCTTCTCATAGAACCTTTGCTTGGAACACAAGAACAGTTACAGAAGACAAATCAACACATTAACCAAGTCTGACAACGTATGCCTCATTCTGCAGTGACAGTACCCCGACTCTGACTTAGAGGGGAAGGCATGTTTCATGGGTGGTCCTGTGAAGTCATGCTTTACCCACTATTTTTCAAGGGTCCAAGTTATCCTCTCCACCACATACTACTAGGTTTGCCATGAAATTAGAAAGTGAAAAGTGGAGTAGAAAAGTGTGGGGAGGCACCGAAATATATGGTGAGATTCCCTCCACTTGGGCTTTGGGTCCTGAAAAAGGAACACACCACCTTCTTATCAAACCTGGCCAAATTTGAATCACTATGAGGATAAGTGGCTTATGTTCAATATGTAGAAAATCCAAGCAATTAAAAATGAGAAAAGGAGTGAAAAAAAATTTAAAGCAAGGAGAAACAAGCCCTGGCTGCTGCTCAAATCTAACTTCCATCATTCAGAAGAACTATCCTTTATATGACACAGTCCTAGTGAGAGGCAGTGTGGAAAGCCAGCCTCTGAACCAAGACCACCTAGATTCAAGTCCCAAACTGGCAGTGCGACCCTAGGCAAGTGACTTGACCATTCAGCGCTCTAGGAAATTCTCTAAGCCTAAGAGTTGCACAGAAAGTGAAAACTTGCACTAGTAGAAGTGACTCAGCAGGCTCTCCCTATGTCAATGAAATCACAGGCATAGTCCTCATTCCTATGACCATTCCTACTCTGAAGCTTCATTGTGACCTCAAGGTGACTATGGGCTCTCAAAGGCAATGCCAGCAGGGGAAAATGGTCTGGCAGGTCCTGCTAAACTGTTAAGAATTTGAGAAAGGACCCATCAACAGACTATGTCTGCTTTCCTAAGACAAGATGAGCTAAGTGCGTTTGGCTGGCCACAAGATGATGAGATGTTTAGCCACAACAACTCTGGAAGACTGACTACTAAGGCATAGAGGGGATAGGATACATTAACAAAATCTGAGGTCTCTGAAGTACTGCAGTAAGACCTACAGATAGATTGTGATGAAGTGCTTATGCTCAGTGATGGACATGGCTACACAGAATGAGAGAGTATAAATTAAGAAAAGGTACTACCTGGCATGCCCTTGGTTCTGACTGAGGGCAGAATCATCTTAAGGCAATTTAATTCTTTTGCATTTCTTTTTAAAGGGTCAACTGTCAGCTAACTTCTGCTTTAAAAGCAAAAAGAAAACATGTGGAAAAAACTGACATTTAATCTGCAAAGAGTCTTTACTCTACTTTTCAGATTCAATAATCAAAATTAATTCCACACAATAAATTTCACCTGGCCATCCTGTCAGATATTCAATGTGCATGTTTTTTTGAAGTGGAGATAACAGCAATCTGGATAAAGTCCAACAATCCTTTGTGGAAGCATCATATCCTACAGAGATTAAACACAGAGATATGCTAACTAAAAAGAAAAATCACTCTGGCTTAACTATCCCAAAACAGCAGCAAGAAGAGTCTGAGAATCAAGGAATATATATATGCAATTATGATTATATTAACAATTTAATAAAAAGTCACAATGCAAAATCTTCTACCTAAGTTTTGCCTGAAATAGCAAACATATGATCTTTTTATTCTGTAGAAGAGGCTCTTCCCATTTATTGAAACAAATTTTAAAGATTCTGTCCTCAACCACTCCCCCCCCCCAAAAAAAGCAAAAACACTGAACTACCAGAATAGTAGTCTTCATTTTAAAAAACAAAACAAAACAAAACACAGTAAGATGTTAACAGAAGGAAATTGCACCTACACAGGAACAGCTCTATGACTGAATTAATCAAGGACCAAACTACAAGGTGTTAGCAAGAAAGATTAATCATCCCTAATTTGAAATCAAAGAGCTACTTTTTCTCTCTCAACTTCTGTCTTGTGAATATATTCACAGCATTTAGTTTCTAACATTTTAAATCATCAAAACATCAAATAAGGTCACTATATTTGCAATATGGAAAAAGATGACATCTGAACAATTACAATGGATTTCAGGAACCCTAGATACAAGTCTTTAAAAAAGATTGTTTTTAAGTGAGGTTTTTTGCCATATTAGCTCAAAGCAAACTATCTGGAGGATGGCGGCACAAGAGAAGAATGACTGCTGATAAAGGACTGATAAAACTGCCAATATATTAGCAGGGATTTTTTTCCTTCACTTTTTAAAAGAGATAATTTGAAGAAGGCCTTCTCTGACACAAGTATCCTACGAATTTTTGCTGTCTAATATTAGCTAGCCCTTCACTGCTACACAGTAAAACTTTTATTCATTCATTGACTGACTATACCATTCTCCTCGGTGGCTGCTCCTAACACTCACTTCTCTCCTCAAACCTCCAACTCCTCACCTGTCCTCCCATGTGGATGCCTTCACCTATTACTACAGTGATAAAATGAAGTCCATCAACCATGAGATCTTCCCCCACATCAACTCTACAGCACAAAGCCCTTTCCATCTTCACTCACTCTCTCCTTCTTGATTCCTTTCTCTGAAGGAAGAACTGGACCTTTTCTTTGCCAAAGCTAACACTTTCCATTCAAAAGCATTTTACAAAATGCCTTATCTCATTCGATACCTGTGTTCTCAATCTCAATTATACCTTCTCCAGAAAAAACCTTCATCTCCATCTTCAATCTGTTTACTAGGTCTTTCTCTCATTTATGAGCATGCTTAGATCTACAATGTCATTTAAATTCCTGACATTCCCTCAAGC